GGATATCTTATAAAAGTATGATGCTTGTATATCATTAGAATCGAGCGCAATCGTACTTTTAGCCAGAAAATAAATGTCCGGGTAATTCTGGGACACCCTGTAAGTTTGGTCTAATAAAAGTGAAGACTTTGAGCATATACATTGTATTAACCCCATTTAATGTTGTTATGTTCAAAACCAGTAGCAAGCACACTCCCTGAAACGTGAAATACCTAGTGATACAAATTACCCCACCATGCCCCACCACCCCACCACTTACCCCACCACCCCTTTAAACGACCTTAGGGGACTCATCTCGCGCTTGGAAGCGTCACTGGCGTCTCTCGACCATTGGTTCAGTGCAAATGCTCTTAAAGTAAACACTGCTAAAACTCAGCTCATGGTTTTCGGCAGTCGGCAAAATTTGAGAAGCATACCTGCTTTCACCGTTTCTTTTCGCGACACCAAACTAGTGCCATGCAAGCAGGTGGGCAACCTGGGCGTTATCTTCGACGGCACCCTGTCCTGGGACGCGCATGTGTCCGAGCTCAGTCGCCGATGCACGGGTCTCCTAATTGGCCTCTCCCATGTCCGCCACTACCTCCCCGACGGTGTCACCAAGACACTAGTGGTGGCTCTCGTCATGTCACGGATCCAGTACTGTCTCTCCGTATTTGGTAATGGTAGCCAAAAGAACTTCGTCCGCATTCAGAAAATTCTTAACTTTGCCGCTAGAGTCATTTTCGGTCGCCGTAAATTTGATCATGTCTCCCATCTCCGGGACCAACTCGGCTGGATGGCACCTAAAACAATGGCTGAATACCATACCCTTATCACGGCGCACAAGGCCATCCAGAGAGGTGAACCCGAGGAGATCGCGACCCTATTTTCCAAAAATTCCCAAACACGAGCAAGGTCTACTCGCCAAGACCACCTTTTCCACTTACCGCGACCCCGACTAGAGACCGGAAAACGTAGATTCGCCTACCGTGCCGCGGCGCTCCTAAATACTCTCCCCTTCGAGCTAACGCAGTTGCCTCCAGCCAGATTTGCCCGTGCTGTAAAAAAGGGGCTTAAGCCTAGCCAGAGTAGCCATAGTAGCTAGCCTCATGACTCTTGGACTATGAAAGGCAAACGAGTCTGTGTGTACATAGTTATGAACGCGGCTTCGTGCGGGTTACACCTAGTACCTATGTGCGTGTTCGGCGTTCGCGTTGTGTATTTCGTATCCGTAAGTGTGTGCGTTTTCTTGTGTAGGTACCTATTTCTTGTGTTATCTTCAACCAGCTCGGACTCGGAGTGTAATCGCCACGCCGATTGTGGATTGCTCTTGATGGTCAATACATGTGATACAACTCACCCAAGCCATGGGGCAAGTTGTATCAAAAGCATTGTTCTATTCGGCAGACCGTAGAAGAAAAACTGGTAGAGGTAGCGGAAAAGTTACTTTGCACAAAAAAGCAGAAGAATCAATGAAGGAGATAGTATGGAAATAATGAGTTTATCACGGATAGTTACGAGGTTATGGGTCTCGGAGTAAAAACTGATACAACCCACCCCACTCTCCCCTACCTACCGTGCTGCAAACTAAGCCCTTCCAAAGTAGGTACAACAGACATCGCTAGACTTCGTACTTTGTAGATTCAAAAAGCTCATTTCAAACAATCCTTCTTTCAATCGACTTCCTTTTCTAACGGAATGCTGGCCGACATCCCCTGAAGCGTCGGACCTTCCGGGTGCTGTTGAGGTCGGTCCGTCAGCTATTTAGTTACATGGCCAGTGTCGTGGCAGGATCAGCAGCGGCCGGGGTTCCAGGTACCGGTACCCGATGGTCCGGCGGCCGGTGGTCGGCTAGTATACAGGGTGATTTTTTTTACTTGTTAAAAAGTAATGAGGTCTAGTGGGGTTAAAATGCAAATATATCTTGCAAAATTATATGCCAGGATGACGAGCATTCTGGGACATTTTGATTTCATGCACTGAAAACAAGTTGAAAGAACGTAATGCAAAAGCATCTTAAAATATTCCACACTTAGGTTTTTTGGGTATTAGGGTAAACTGGCTTAGAGGCGAAGCAGAACGTCTGGCTCATGAAGAACACACACAGTGTTTCACATAGACCGAAGACACGTGCTGCTTCTTCGCGTGCAGTCTTAGCGGCCCCAGGGGGCTTCAACTCGACCAACACCGGTTCTTCTTCGTTCTCCCTAGTCACGTGATATTACGTCACACAAAGCGCGCGAAAGATAAACCCTTTGAAGGTTTAGCACGAACTAGCATCGGGTTTAAGAAGAAGGGGTTGTGGTTTGATCAGTATAATGGCTTTCATCAAGACCACGCCCGCGGTACCACGTTCTAGCGTCCACCGGAAGCGATCGCCATTTTTCGATCGCGTTGGATCACGCTTTGTGCAGTGACGAGCGGCTGGTGCAAGGTTGGGTGAATGGCAAGTAATCGAATAGGTATTGAAGAACTGAAATAAGGTTAATTTTTGGCTTGTGAAGTGTTGTGTATTATTTCTATTACTTGTGATTGACAATGATAAGCAATATCACAACGCTCTTCAAATGCATGGATGAATGCATTGGATGAAGAAAATTCATATGCAAGACCATTCAATGCTGTAAGTATTTATATGTTGTATAAATGCCCCATAGCTTAAATTATGCATGTGACATTTAGACAAATCTTCCAATTGAAGATAAATCAGGAATGGAATCAGCTTGCCATTTTGGGGTCAACTGATTTAGGTATAAATTTGGCTGATTTTAATAAACATACCTATGTTCTTGCTGATTAGTGCAATATTTTATCTAGCTGCACTTTATATGTTTAGTGCATTATTTTATTTTTGGAGTAAGCTCATGGTCTCTGAAGTTAATCTAAGTTTCTTTACTCCCTGCCTGTTGAATAACGACTTCATTTCTTCATTCTAGGGGACGAGGCCATCTCCGCTCTGATTGAGGCCCTGGAGTCTGAGGAGAGCGTCCTGGCGCGCGGAGACGTCGACATCGTCGAAAACGCTGGCTTGAAGCTGGTGGTGGAAGGAGAAACTGTATGTGATTTGGGAGAATGCGATATCGCCACCCGGCTGCTGACATGGGCGATAGCGCATACTGTGTTTGGGAAAATATCCACTTGCTAAAGCTAAAAATGTGTTCATATTTGTACAGAAAGCAACCCTGAGCGTGAAGGAATCAACCTGAATAATTAAACATGCCCGAAAGGCTCTGGAGTTCTTTGGCTTGGATGTGTAAGGCAAGTGACACGGCCGAGGGGAAAGCGTTCCTGCAGGCTGATTGCGGGCTGATCGCAGGCTGAATGCGGGCTGGTTGCGGGCTGATCGCATGGGCTGGTTGCGGGCTGGTTGTTCCTGACTGGAGACTTGCAGGCTGATTGCTCAGAGTAAAGAGGAAGGTAATACATTTTCAGGTGTATCAAATACTGTGTTTGCGCAGCAGAGGTGACGGCGCAGGTCGATAGCCATGTATGGGAGGTTCAATAGAGGAATGAACGGGGATTTTGCGGTATTGCAATAGAACTGAAAGGGTTCTACAACCGATATTCAGAACACAGGGTGGTTTCCCTATAAACCTCAGGGACTTCTTCACAGACCATTTGGGGTTCTTATCTAGGTGCTAAGAACGCTCTTATTATAAACCCTAAACCTCATAAGAGTCTTTGGAAGAATCGTGTGGATTCTTTTGATGAGAATGCGAAGCCGTCTACGTGAAGAACCATGGGGGTTCTGAAAAACGGTGGCATAACATTTTACCCCACAGGGGTCTAAATACCTCTGTACGTTCTTAACGTTCTTCCAAAGTGTTTTCAGTGTGCAGACACGATGTGAAGCAACGTCCATCGTGTATTTTACTTGTGCTTGAAGTTACCCCCTCTCTCACCGACACGAATCAGTCCGCCTGAGCACGTGTTAAACAGCACCATGGACTCCCATACTCATTAGGAGGACTGAAAAGGCTCCTATCGCCCATTTTCAGCTCTGCCAGATATTTCCACTGTTTTCTTGTTATATCTGCCATAGCTGGGTCCAAAAACTAGAAGTCTAGGGTCGGAGGGCAGGTCGAGGATTTTGATACTGGCCGCCCTGGTGGTGTCTGATTCGCTGTTTTTCTTTCTCCCTGAAGACTGATTCTTCAAAAGCTGCACATACGCCAGATGGACCGTTTAAAGGTTATTTATGACTACAAGCTTGTTCATACGTTATTCAACGTCTTTCTGAGGTATCCCCTTGATCATCGTATGCTTCGAACTGCCTCAATGCTTCAAAATCATCGTTTTGTGTCGTTCCTTACTGAACGGCGGTGGACCATGCGTGCCCGATTGGTGGGACATTTTCAGGCTCCATTGGGGCCGAGGCCGTCGGTTAAAAGGGACAAATGATGACACCATACAAAATGTCCCAGATTTATCTATCACGTGAATTGCTTTTTTGCACGCGATTTTTCGATTTAGGGACCACCATTGACGTTTACTTTTTAACAGTTAAAAAAATCACCCTGTAGTCTCTCTTGAAAGTATCGCGACTCCGAGGGAAGGCGCCACCTGTCCCAGCCGGGGTTGAGCGGAAAGGTTTGAGAGCCGCTGGTAGCACTAACCGAAGTCTGACACGCGGAGGCAGCCGGCGCGGCGGGGCGAGGGGAGTGGTTGCGGATTGCGGAGGGCTAGGGGGAGATGGCAGTCGCCATCCGGTAACTTGTGATGGCAGCTAAGCACGTGGTCAACGGAACCCACCCTGCTCGCAGAGGATTTGTTGAGATTTGTTTCATTGCAAAGTTAGCAATTTGACTCGTCATCGGCACGACTGTCACATTTTTTTTTGGGGGGGGAGGGGTAACATCCGGAAACTCGTGCCCATATACCCAAAAAATCATCAGTTGCACCCGCTAACAGGATGCATCCGTGCTTGCACATGCACTCGTAAGCGGATTCAAAAACAAGAATTATCCCTCAAACTGAATGGAATAGTTCGCTGAGCCGCCGCAGCCCAGGACGCGATACTTTCAAGAGAGACTATACGTTCCCAGCGCGCACAGGAAGCGGTACTTCCAGGAGCAGTCGTAGTCTGCCCACTCGCCCACGGCGTACATTTCCTCGGGGCGCAGGCCGTTTACCACCACGCAGTCGTGGTTGGGCCCGAACTGGTCGCCGTCGGGCTCGTCAGAGGTCAGCCGCAGCCAGTGGGTGTCCGTCACGAGGCTGCCGTCGTCCCAGTACAGCCGACCGGCCCGGTCCGGAGTCGAGCGCAGACCCACCCAGAAGAACGTCACGTCGGCCAGGTCCAGCGCGGGGGGCAGCTGGCTGTAGTCGGCCACAGTGGCCAGCTTCGATAGCCGGCTGGCGCACATCGCATCCGCCTCGGAGTAGCTCAACTGCTGCTTGATAAGTACGTAGCAGTGCGTTTTAGTTCCACTCCAGAGATGTGGACACCTTTTGTTGAGTCGCTGGGGAAAGAGGAGGAAAATGGTCTTAACAAACACATTTGTTGGATGAATCGAATTAAAACACTCAGAGAAAGGTAGAAGGCTGGGCATGATTGGAGAAACGACGCCTGCCGCCTGGTTTTCACACAACCACAAAGGAACTACGATAACTTCTTGAGGATACAGCGAATCATCCGTCCAGAAACTTGGATGCACGTGTAAGATAATTTTCGATAACGCCGCCGATCATCAATACTGAACTGATTATCAATAATGGCGACGCTGCAGCACAAGAATTTTCCACTATGCATACACAATAGGGGAGAGTGGGGTAAGATGCCCAGGGTGGGAAAGACGCCCCACCCCCTCTAGCGGCAAAACAAAGAATCGAACCTGGAAATTAACGCTCTTGGCGTAAAGCGGAAGCCTGCCTTGTTAACTGCACCAAAATTTGCAAATGTCCGTCAGACAACGGTTGGCTGGTGATTGCATGTTTTTTATTTGCTGATTTCAAAAAAAAAAAAATGGTGTCAAAACATTGTAAATATCAAAGAAGGTAAATAATTTTTATGTCACTTGCTATTGTCGTGAGACATTAACATGTGTGTACTTTGTCCAAACCAGTTTGTTTTAGGATGTAGTTTTAGGGCTAACAAATTGTACTGATTAAATGTTAATTCGGTACCTTGGGGAAAGATGCCCCCTGCACTGATGGGGAAAGAGTCCGAAAGACGCCCCCTAAATCCGTACGCTGTCCTTCAAGCAACCCGTCGAATCATTTAGTACATACTTGTGATGAGAGACAAAAGCCGATCTGGGACTATTGAGAGCCCAATACGGTCGGCTGCTCCCCATGCCGGTCTCTCGGCCCACACAACGACTTTTTGGGCGGCATCTGACTCTGAGAGCCCTCGAGACGGCCTCTGTGGGCCCCATTATTAACTCCAAGGCCCCTCACGACATCCTTTGAGGGCTCCCACGCTGGCTCCACGGGCCGCGCTGGCATCTTATAAGGTCCCCACGATGAGCTTGAGGGCCCTCAAGACTCATGAAGATCTATAAGGGCCCCACAACGTTCTCCGAATGCCACCACGGAGGCTTGTTTAGTCGCGCTGGACTCTGGTGGCCCTAACGATGACCTCTGAAGCCCCTCACGACTACTTTTGAGGGCCCTTACGATGGCATTTAGTGTTTACTGCAGGCTCGAAGGGGCTACTGATTCGTTCAGGCAATTCACGTGCCTATTTATGTCACTTATAGTGCAGGGGGCATCTTACCCAACGCCAGGGGGCGTCTTTGCCACCCTTTGGGTAAGATGCCCCCTTTCAGTTCTTCGAGAAAATGCTTAATAGCAAAAAATATCATATTTCAAGCACGAAAGAGTGATATTTTATGAGAGCAATGATGTCGGCTTCCGTTGAAACGACAAGTTTTTGCTTTCCGATGGTCATTTACGAATAATATATGACATAACAAACCCCTGGGCATCTTTCCCCACTCTCCCCTACACATGTTTTCTCCTTCAAGGGATTCTGGAAAAGCTGAGCTATCAGCTTGAAACATGAAACTCGATGCACTGAGAGTCTGAGACCTCACCTGTCTGCAGCCACGTGTACCTATAGAAGTAAAAAAAAAAGTAAATTACATACAAGTGCCTTCTAAGCCACGAGTGGAAGCGGAACAAAATGATTCAATAACCACTCAATTAGCTGAATCAGCGCACATGCCAGAGGCGGCGGAAGGTAATTTGGGATGGGGGGGGGGTCCAGGTGCCTCGGTCCACGGTCCACTCTAACCCACTAGGCATACACATCGGGGGCGCTATTCCCGCGCTTTTTCGATTGCCATGATTGCCGCATCCACATTCGAAGGCAGAACAACTTGGTTTCTTTGAACGAATGGCGTCATTAAAGGGACTATCCCACCTTTAACATGGGGTTTGAGTTGAGATAGCCAGGTTTGCGGCGAGGTTCAGAAACCACTATCTATCTAGGTTGCAACCCCCGCGGCCTCTTGGTGTTGAAGAAATTCGTTCCCTTCATTTGAAAATGGGCCTTGTGCAAGGCCCTATCTTCAACATGGAGCGACCGTTAGTGTGACGTCACCTCGTTTAGTCATTCTGATTTAAATGGGTTTGTTCGTTGAAAAATCGCTTAAAACTTGGTCTGAACTTTGTTGTGGTGCCTACAGAGTAAAAAAAAAATCAGCTTTATGACAGTAATGTGGCCTGGGGAAGGAGGTAAGTAGCCAGGAGCCTGCCACTGATAGGTTAATGAAAAATAAATGCCAGAACCGTGTTCCTGGTCATCCAATCTATAAAGTCGGGCACAATTTACCTGGTTTTAACAACATTTTAGAAGGTGGGATAGTCCCTTTAACACTCGCACCGACGGGGGTGTGCGCCAACTTCATACCGACGGGGGGGGCGGATGACCGCCCCCCCCCCCTGAGATCTCGAGAACGAAGCAAGATAGCGACAAGCGGTAAACGGCAAGGGATACGCACGGACAAGGTCTACAATTTTTACAAGGGTCATTTTCAGGTCAGGTCAAAGATGACGTCATAGGGGTCAAAATGGCGGCGCTAGGTATGGAGAGAGTTTTCTCGAATATTTACTTTAATGAAAAACAATATCAAACAGACTTGTGCCAAGGTCCCAAAAAGATCCGAGATCCAGGGTTCGCAGAGTCCAAGGTCTGGGACCTTGATGGATCCTGGACCTTGCATTGTCATTTTTGTCGCAAGACCTTGGAAACCCAGGACCTTAAAACATCCATATGCCGCGAGACCTTGGAATCCCAGGACCTTAAAACATCCATATGCCGTGAGACCTTGGAATCCCAGGACCTCAACATTTGCATATGTCGCGAGACCTTGGAATCCCAGGACCTCAACATTTGCATATGCCGTGAGACCTTGGAATCCCAGGACATCAACATTTCATGTGACATGAGACCTTAGAAACCCAGGACCTCAACATTTCATATGCCGTAAAACCATGGAAACCCAGGGGTTAGGACCTCAAAATTTTGGTATGCTGCAAGACCCTGCAGAATGCAGACCTTCAGTAGGTACCAGTTTTATTATTTGTCATGGGATCTTAGGAGAACGGTCTGGACCTACACCACCATTTTGTTGATGGACCTCAAGAATCCTGGAAGCTTGACCATGGGGTTTATGTTGCACATGGGCCACTATGGACCCTGCACTAGGTTTTGTCTGTAAGCACTTCAATAAATATCTATGGTTGAGCGACCAGCTGCAAGGGGCTAGATAGCTGCACGAAGAGAAAACGAACCAGACTGTGTAGACATATATAGAGCAAAATCATTGCCATGGTTGTGAGGCAGAACTGGAACAAGAGACCTGGTAGCTTTTTACATTATCAATGTCATGGATTATGAAACTGTCAAACAGTGGACAGTGGTGGTTTGGAAAGTTCTTTTCTAATCTCACCTCACATATTTTCTGGGTTGTGATATGCCGGGCTTGAAGCTACTTGGAAGCTACCCACTGACCAAGTAAGTGTCAAACTTATTTGTTTTGCAATTCATCAAATCACCATTGAGCAATGAGCAATATCAATATAAGCAATGATTCCATGACAGTTCAACTTTTTCGTTTAGCAGGTTTTCGTCGGACAATTTTTCGTCTGCAGATTTTCGTCCGCAGACTTTCGTCTATGCATTTGTTCGTCTGTGCATTTTTAAGTCCGCTGTCCGCACTCCGCCGCCGCGCATTATTTTCATAAGGACATTTTCCGCCTCGTCCAGACGAAAAAATGCCGGACAGAAAAATACTCAGACGAAAAATGCACCAAATTAATTCGAACAGACGAAAAAATGCAAGACGAAAAAGTCAGACGAAAATCTGCCGACGAATAACCGGCTGACGAAAAAAATGTCAGATGGAATTTTGTTCAGAGCCTTCAATCTAATGTGAATGAACAGTAAGTTAGGTTTGCGCTCGCTGATACTCTAATTCTATTGGCTAAGTCGATCAGTTTTTCTGTGAGCGCTCGCGCAAACAAGACTTAGAACATATTTTACTTTTTATCCTAGGTATTATGTAACTGAATGTGCAGAAAATCGAAAGCATATACCTATCCAATTCAACTTTTCCATTTCTATGAAGCCTGTAGGTTTTATTTCTTTTTTTTTATATTGCCTGAAAGAATACTTGAATGTCTGTCTTCAATAACTGTAAGGTGCTGTCCTACATTCCTACTGATAAGGTAAGATTGAATTGAAAGGGACATGACAATACAAATTGCAAGGTACCTATTAGGGGAAGGAGGGTGAATTGCGCCACCTTAAGGAAAAACGCTAATTGTAAGAAAACCGCTGGAGATATAAGCATGCAATGGTAACCACTTCAAAGAGGAACTCATTAGCTACGATTTAAGAGCCTCCCGATCAATTAAGAATGTTTCGTTTGCTTCCGACAGCTGCTTTTCAGAAACATGCAAAAGGGCGCATTTACCGACAACTGCTGTAAATTGCGCCAGGGGGATGGCGCAATTAGAATCAAATTGCGCCCTATACTTAAACATGGCTAAGCGAATGAGACGGAATGCATACACCCCGGCAGTGTAATGTCATTGCGGCTTACTTAAACATTTATAATGTTAATCAGGCTGGATAAATAATAAATGTAGATATAAATAGCGATGTTTTTTGCCCAGGTAAATAACTTTACATGTGTCCGTATGTTTGTAAAAGTGCAACGAAAACGTTTTATGTAACCGACTAGATATGTGTGAAAGTAAGGTTAAATTTTCAATCGTTTCTCTCAAAATTATTAATTTTATCGTTTCGACAACTTGTTGACATCAGTTTTTACTTTTTGATCATAGCTGTCACCTCTCACGCCCGAGTCCATGTTGAAAATGCCGTATTTTGTCAATTACACCACAAGTTGTCATC